TCATCCCTATTGACAGGACTTGCTCTAGACCTTAATATTCTGGGAATTGCAGTGGTGTCGTAGATGAAAGCGGGTAAATTAACAGATGTTCTTGGAAAAACATTTGTGTTTGAGGAAAGCGCCATGGGAGGTCTGGATAATTCGGGTGAAATTAAAATTTTATGGCTCAAATATATCTAAGCACGACCAACGCTGGGATATGTCGCTGTTGGAGATGGTGCTTTTTCCTGGGAGAGTAGCTCCAAGTTGTGCTTTCCTTGCGTTAATTATTCCTAATATTTTTATTATTATTAATGCCACGTCATCGCAGGTGAAGGTCATTCGGAGCCGCCGCTCGCTGCAGCTCTGACGATCGCCTCGTCTGCTGCGTCCTGCTCGCTTTGTGCAGACTTTCTCCCAGAAATGTCCCCAATGATGCTCAGTAACGAGGTGTGCCGGAGCACGCCGTGGCTTTCCTTTCATCCAAAGGCATTTTTTGCATTTCTTTATTTTTCTTTCCGCCTGGAATTATTGTAACACCCTTTACCCCCCTGTTTCTTGATGTCCCCTGGGAGATGCGTGTGCGATGGAACGTTCTTGGTGTGTGCGGGATCGAAGGGACCACCTGCCCCTTTGGGCTTGGGTCTTCCCTTCCATGGATCATGTGGAAAGTGGATCCTAGAGGTACCCAACGCGGCGGGATGCAACCCCACCAACCTCCCTGTGCCGTCCCTGCTCTTGACTTCCAGCGGGAAGCAGCCGCATTTCCTCAGAGATCCTAGACTGTAAATAATATCTTTGAACATCTTCTCCGCGTCGCCATCGAGCTGCCCCTTTGGGATGGATACCAGGATGTTTGCCGGGATGCTTCCCCGCGCGCTCGGCCCCATCGGAGCCATCCCTGGGGCGGTTTAGCGGGACATTCCCAGCAGCGGACGCAGCACCTGGCTTTATGTAGGGTAATTCTGTCAAAGCAATGAGTCTTCATGAGCTGCAGCCCACAAATTACTCGGCGATTATGCAGGGCCCAGACAAAAGGCCAGAAATACCAACAGGGGCCGAGACCCCCCGGCAGTTGGATCTTTTGTTTTCCTGCTGTTCAGCCCGTCCCGCCGCGCTCTCGAGAGCCGCGGGACAAAGGGACCCTGTTGGGGTTGACTTCGGCTCGAGGTGGAGACAGTTATTTTAAATGAGCTAATCAGAGCAGCGGGGAGCCGCGAAGGGGCTGCGTAATGTTGTTTTGCTCCCTCTTTCCTCTCTCCAGGTCACTCAGATGAGTCGCCCGGATTTGATCCTCTTTCTCATGAAGTATCTCATGGCTCTGGTCGTCGGGATCCCCTCCGTGTTCTGGGTTGGAAGCAAGAAGACCTGTTTCGAGTGGGCCAGCTTCTTCCACGGGCGCAGGAAAAAAGAGTGAGTGTCCGGAGGGAACTGGCACGGGCTGAGCACGGGCAAATCAACGTGGTGGGACGGGGAGAGCTTTGCATCCTCGCAGGGAGGCAAAGGCACGAGCAGCTTTCCTGGAAATCCACTTGTCAAATGGAGCAAGGGAGGGCAGGACACACAGCAGCTCCTGCAAAGCCCCTAGAACCTGTCCCGTATTTACCACAATTAATTGCACTTTCTGCTTGCAAATGTATTTATTTATCCTCTTAAGAATTAGGGTTCATTGAATGCTCCAAATTCACCACCATTTGCTGAGAGGTGGGACCAGGAATGTTCATTGGCAAAGCTGCCTCTTACCCAACCTCATCGGGTCTTTTAATGGAAATTAAACGTAAGCTCTTTAGCACTGGTTGTAATTAAAAGCCCCTGTTGGTGCTTTTAGCCTTTCCCATATAGGCTAGAATTTGTAGCACAGCACAGTTTCATCAAGTGGCAGTGGCAATAGCTTAAGGTTGGAGCTTCATTTAGACTAGCACGATGCCATCAACGTAGAGAAAGAAGTTTACAATCATGCAGTAACTATGAATAGCAGCTTTCATAAGCACAAATACCGCCCCGCGCGTAGCTGCTTCAAAATGAATCCACAAACAGGTGATCAATTCGGTTTTAATACCCGTATGTGCATTTGGGTAGGGTTCAGCTGGGGGGAACGGGCTAGTTGGGTGGACAGGAGAGCGAGACGGAGACCAGGGGGGCAGAGGAGGCTGCTCCGCCCCAGGACTTCCTGCATGAGGGGACGCTCCGGGGGGGACTTTGTGGCGCGATCCGCGTTGACGCCCCAACCTGCTGCCTCGCCAGGGTCGTCAACGAGAGCCGGCAGGTGCTGCAGGAGCCGGACTTCGCGCAGTCGCTGCTGCGGGACCCCAACACGCCCATCATCCGCAAGTCGCGGGGCACGTCCACGCAGGGCACGTCCACGCACGCGTCCTCCACGCAGCTCGCTGTGCTGGACGAGCAGCGCAGCAAGGCGGGCAGCGTGCACAGCAAAGTGAGCAGCTACCACGGCAGCCTGCACCGCTCGCGCGACGGCCGGTGCGTCCCGCTCTGCTCCCTGCGTCGTTCGCTCGCGTCCGCGCGCTTCCGTGCCTTCCTTTTTGTGTATTGGCTGCTTAGAAACGAATTTCAGTAACCAGGCATGGCCCTACTGAAGTAAACAATGATAAAAGCTGCCTGCTGTAACTGGGGGTGTAATTAAGGATTAGAAGGGAATTTATCTGCGGGTATTTGCTCACCTAATTACCAACAGCGTGCGCAGAGCTGGAGTAAGAGCTGCAGAAAGGGCTCAAACAATTTGCCTGGGGTTGCCTGAGCTAAATGGACGAGCTAAAGAGCACCTTTTCCATAAAAGCAGAGGGTTTGTGTGTGTGATCAGCGCGATGGCAATAACATGATGCTGATGTTTTTTTTTTGTGCCCCAGCTACACGCCGTGCAGCTACCGCGGCGCCGAGGAGCGTCCCGCACGGCAGCCTGTCCCGCCTCACCGACCACTCCCGCCACAGCAGCTGCCACCGCCTCAACGAGCAGTCGCGGCACGGCAGCGCCCGCGAGCTGAGCGCCAACCCGCTGACCCACATCACGCACGGCACCAGCATGAACCGCGTCATCGAGGAGGACGGCACCAGCGCCTGAGCCGCGCGGCGCTTCCGGAGCCTTCGGCAGCCGCCGGGCGGCGGGGAAAACGCCGGTCGCCTCGTTAGCTGTCTCAGTAGGTAATTATTTATTTGGTGACTGCTGGTCTCCTGTCAAAGGCTGAATTTCTTATCCGTGGTTGGAGGAAACGTCTCCCTCCGACGCGGCCGCGTGGCAGCAAGCGCCACCCAAACGTGCCGGCCGGGGTCGGTGAGGAAAGCCGACGGATGAGGAGGTTCTGCCCCGCGTCTCGCCTTGTCGCCGGGATAGCGCCCGCTCGCACGAGCGGCGCGGGAAGCTCCGTGTGAAACACAGGCATTTCCGAGCCCTTCCACTGGAAACGCAACAAGGAACGAGCCCGTCGTGGGGGAGAGGAAGCTCCACGCTCGCTCCGTCCGGGCTCCGCTGTGGGATGGGGTGGGAAGGGGGGGGACACTGAAGGGCAGGGAGGGCCATTTTTGTATAACTTGTCCTTGCTTTTTTTACAGAATACTATTTAAATTTTCTACTTGTTTACAATTTGTGTAGGAAGAGATGGATTTTAAACCCACTTGTCTAGATAATGGTCAGCCACTTATTTTTAGATTGATGTACAGAAGCGGAGATTGCCTGTTCCTGGTCTATAAAAAAAAAAGAGAGAAAAAAAAAGAGAAAACCGGCATTTCTCACCCAAACGGCCACGTGCAGCCTCTTACAGACGGAATGAATCCTGTTCACCCCCTGGGCTTGGCCAACATGGGATTTAACCGGAGCTGTCCCACCCTCCTTGCAAAATCCCAGCTGCTTTCTGCAAGGGCTCCCTTTCCACGGAGCGCGCAGGGAGCGAGAGCTTAGAAAAGGGTGGAAAAATCCCAACTGGAGCTCTTTAGTTTATTTTTTTTCCATTCCCGACTGTAGGTTCGGAGGGGAGGAGTCTCCGTGTTTGTTTTGGGGTAAATTGTGTGTAAATAACCTACGGCGCGGGGCGCCTCGGGCCGCCGTTGCCGCTGCGGGATGCGGATGCTGCCGGGGCTCCTTGGAAGCGCCTCCAGTTCAGCTCCATTCACCGCGCGGAGATTCCGCTTGCATTTAAACCTACCTCAGTAATTCCTCCAGAGCATTGCTGGGAAAGGCTTTTTTTTCCCCCCCTGTCCTTCCATGATTCCCTGCGGTGTCTTTTCTTTCAACTGCAGCGATGGTTCCACTTGCTGAGAGGCGGGAGGGGAATGAAGCAGGGTTGAACGTCCCTCATTTGATGTTTGTCAGTCTGCGAGGTTGAATCCTCCCAGATTTGTGGTGTTTCCAGCTGGGTTTGTCCGAACTCTTCTCTGTTCCGGCATTGTCTATGGTGGGAGGCCGCGCAGCGCTCCTGTCACCCCAGAGACCTGCCTAAAATGTAAAATGCTGCTTCTGGATGGGGCTTCTCCATCGTTGCCATCCCCGATCCCTCCTTTTTATCCCCGGAACCACAGTTGGCCTCCTGCTCACTCGGTATTCCTGCAAAACCCTCCTTCCTTGGCTTCGACACCTTTTGCTCCAGGTTGTTGTGGGTTTCATGTGGCAGCTCTTCCCAGCCTGGATGTGGTTCCCTCCTCTCCGATGTCTGCAGGTCTTTGCCTCCCAATCCTGCCCGTTCGGGGGCTCCGCGGCTGCTCGGAGCCGAACGAGGCAGCTCGGAGCAGGGCGCCCGGCGCTCCTGATACTGCGGGAGGTTCTTCCCATCCCTTGGCTTCGCCGCTGCTGGGAATGCCGCCGATCTGAGGTGCTGCTCCTTAAAAGTACTGAAAAAGAGCCGCGCTCGCCTGTCCCTCAGCCTGCTCCCGAGCGCTCCGCGTTTCCCAGCGCCTGGACCTGGACTTCGCTGCCGAGGCTTCAGCTTCCTGCCCGCGGCACTGCCTCCAGCACAGGGTTCAACTCCAGCCCGTTGCCGCTTTGCGAGGGCTGGGGACAGAGCCCCACAGGGGATTTGGGGTGGGTTTCTGCCTGTCGTGTTCCTGCTGCAGGTCCTGGATGCTGGAGGTGCCGGAGCGGAGCGGCGTTTACAGTAGTGCCCTGTCCCTGTCGTAACGTTTTGGTTCTTAGCACTTTACCCGTGAGTGTGCGAGCGCGTCCTGTCGTAGCGGGTGTACAGTCTAGCTTTAGCCCTTGGAAAGTTTCTAATAAAATGGTGCAAAAAGAGGCCCGTGTCCTTGGCGCCGGCCGCACGCGCGCTCCCACCACGCACGGTGCTGCCTCCGGAGCAGCCTTTGCTGAGCCGGGGGACAGCTCAAACTGTCATGTGTCACCCCACGGATGGGCCGGGTCCTGGCCGTGACCACGACCCACTTGGAGCAGTTGGGACTTTGGTGCTCCTGGCCAGGGACACTGCGGATGAGGGGACTTGGGATCTGTTCCAGGCTCTCATCCTTCTCACCCTTCCTGCACGGCGTCTCCAGCCCCGCCGCTGGCACCAGGAATGCAACTCAAACCCGCCTGGGAAGAAGGAGGAGCCTGGACAGCTCCTGGGGGCTGAATCCCCCGGTTAAAGCATCAGCCACGGCCCCCTCGGATGCTCCCTGGGTGGGAAGGGGGCAGCCAGACCCGGCTGCAGGCCCGGCACCCCCTCAAAGCCGTGGGAAGAGCTGGAATGCTTTTTTTTTGGCGGGATGCGCGGTGCAATAGTGCCCCCCCGCGCACTGCGGGCACCGCATCCCCATGGATGCGCCGGGCCTTGCACGCCCACATCCCAGATGTGGGGGGAACCGGGATGGGGACGTGTTGGACAGGCCCCTGTGGAGGAGGGTGCCTTGTATCCCCTTCGGCCCACGGGCCCTGCGGGAGGGAAGGAACTGGGAATTCTGTTGCTGTCGGGGCAGAACTGCCTTCCCCTGCTCCGAGGGGAATGGCGAATCCTTCAGGAATAGCAGCTGTAAGCCTCTTAGCTGCCTGATGAGCTGGTTAAACCCAGCAGAAAAGATCCAATTCCCCTCCGGAGCAGCAAGCGTTGCCCTTGCTGCACCGCAGGGCTGTCCCGTCCCCATGTCCCCCGCGTGGGACCCGGGTGATGCCTGGGAAGTCTCCAGCCTGGCTGCTCCAGGCACATCCTGCTGCGGGAGACGCTCCGATGCCAAAGGCGGGACCCTCCGCTCTGGTTTCGCCCTGGAATTTGTCACTTCCAAGTAGAGAACGGGGCCATTGGCGGGCGCAGGGCTCCGCGGGGCCACTTATCCGGGTTATTATCCCGGCTCTTCCAGCAGTGTCCAGGGACGTGATGTCTCCTGCTGGAGAGGAAGACTCATCAACACGGAGCCGAGCTTCCTCCGGCCAGGCATAACACATAGACTAACCTATAGACTACTATATAGATAACCTATAGACCACTATATAGATAACCTATAGACTAACCTATAGACTAACCTATAGACATAAACACCCGCCAGTAGGTGCCGACGCATCCGACCTCCGCCCTCCCTGGGGCTTGGCTGCTGCCACCCGGCTGGTCGGTGTCCGGTGCCAGGTCCCCGTTACCCGGTTGGTGCCAGGTCTCTGTCACCTGGTCAGTGCCAGGTGCTGGGTGGCGGGTCCCTATCCTTGTCACCCGGTCGGTGGCAGGTACTGGGTCCCTGTCCCTGTTGCCTAGTCAGGGCTGGGTCGTTGCTGGGTCTCTGTGTCACCTGGTTGGTGCCAGGTCCCTGTCACCCACTGGGTGGTCAGTGCTGGGTCCCTGTCACCTGGTTGGTGCCGGGTGGCCGGTGCCGGGTCCCTGTGTCACCCGGTCAGTGGCAGGTCCCTATCCCTGTCACCTGGTCAGTGGCAGATTAGTTGTGGGTCCCTGTGTCACCCGGTCAGTGCCGGGTCCCTGTCGTTGTCACCTGGTCAGTGCTGAGTTGGTGCTGGGTCCCTGTTGCCCGGTTGGTGCTGAATTGGTGCTGAGTCCCTGTCCCTGTCCCTGTCACCTGCTCAGTGCTGGGTCCCGGTCCCTGTGGCCTGCTTGATGCCGCTTGGTGCCAGGTCCCAGTCCCTGTCCCGGTCCCTGTCCTTGCGGCCTGCTCAGTGCCGGGTTCCGATCCCTGTCCCGGTCCCTATCCCTGCGGCCAGCTCGGTGCCAGTCGGTGCTCGGTCCCTGTCTCTGCAGTCCACTTGGTGCCAGGTCCCAATCCCTGTCCCAGTCCCTGTCCTTGTGGCCTGGTCCTTGTCCTGGTCCCTGTCCCTGCAGCCCGCTCCTGCCACTCGGTGCCCAGTCCCTGTCCCTGCAGTCCGCTCGGTGCCAGGTTCCGATCCCTGTCCCGGTCCCTGCGGCCCGCTCGGTGCCGGGTCCCGGTCCCTGTCCCTGCAGTCCGCTCGGTGCCAGGTTCCGATCCCTGTCCCGGTCCCGGTCCCTGCGGCCCGCTCGGTGCCGGGTCCCGGTCCCCGCCCCCGCTCG